GCACTCTCCCTGTATTCTACTGTCAAGTTTTTATGAATTTTTGCTCATCGGTATTATTTTTGACGCTTTTTCGCGGAATGTCTTCCTACAAGACAAACGAAGAATCTGTATCGACGCCGGATGCAATTAAACACTCTTTCCTTTCTGGTATTTGCCGAAAATTTTAATCAGTCCGGATTCACATTCACTTAATCCCCCGTCGTAAATCAGGTGTCGTATTTTTTCGTCGTCCTTTCCCTGCTTTCATTAAAAATCGGACACAGATGGTTTGCTGAAACCTACTTTATCTGCTTTTTGGCGTATGAACAATTACCGCTGCGATAGTGTGACAAATTTCCCGTAACGACATCACCCATTTGCTTCGATCTTGGCTCAGTTTTAATATAATCACTTGTCACGAGTAAAATATAAAAAAACTGTTCTGTTTATACACAAAATAAGTTATTTGAAGGTAAAAATATTAATTCCTAACTTAAAGAAAATTGGCGGTCGCCGTAGCCGAGTGGTTAGCATTTCGAACTGACATTCGGAAGGCTCCGGTTCATATCCCGGTTCCACCAAACATCCAAAAGTTATAGTAAGTTAATTTAAATGTAAAATTAAGTTAAATCTTCTAATTGTGGTCGACCGACGGCAGGGAATGTCAATCCCTCCGATTGTATTTTGGACATGAACTGAATGCTCCTCTTAAAAAAGCCATCAGCCATTCGGAGGCGGCTAAATATCAACAGTAGACCCCTTCGTTTGTAGGAAAAACATCAAGATGCAAAACCACAAATTGCTGGAAGAGTTCGGCCGAAAAATCGCTGTAGCGGTAACAAAGTTAAAGAATTTTAAATACGACGAATTTAATTATCCGATTATTTCTTGGCACACAACTGTATATTAAAAACTTGTTATGAAATAGAGTTACTATGCTTCGTATAATACCTAATGTTTCAATTAATAAAAATAAAGCAATGTGTTCCTAGCAGCGAAATTTTTTATATAAATTATGGTTGACTAGATTATGTTGAGGCGCTTAAAAACAACAAATAACAGAAAAAAACTACAGAGATACTATGCACAATCTCTATAGTCTTTTTTTTTTTTTGGTTATTTATAATTTTTAAACACCATATTGCACCTTAAATAAAAAATTTTATTATTCATTAAATAAGATTAATACTGTGCAATATTTTCATTTTAATGTTAATCCTGCTCAAAGAAAATGAAAGAAAACTAATGGATATTAAGAAATATTTTTCACTTGGTATTGCCGATATTAGGGATCTTCTCTTAAAATTTCTCAATCAATTAAAGTGTAAATTAATATTACAAATAAAGTTCATTAAAAACATTGCTTTTTCAAATTTGGTAAAAATGCCATCATATCATTCATCACATATTAACGAAAAAGTGTTTACTTCATAAAGAATAGTGCTTTAATTTATTTTATAATGAATCAATTGGGCAACACTGGTCAAATCAGCTTACCGCATTTCTCTTCAACTCACACTTTTGGCAACTTAAAATTAAGGACCCCAACTTCATCTCTTTGAAAATCGTAGATGAAGTCACGTAAATCTAAGTAAATTCCTCCACCTACAATGAGTGCACTCTCAGTTTTAATCATGAATGCTAACACTAGCAACAAGTGATTTAATCGTTCAATAGGGTTTACAATTTACATCACTAGCACATACACACAAATTCCATGGAAGGGCTACGGACAAATGTTACGCATACGCCATGACATACTGTAGTGTACAAAAACTTGATAGCAGGGCATTCTAAAATGCATAAATGCACATATATTATAAGCACACGAGTCGATTTGCAACTATGTACGCTTGTAAATTGTACATATGTATACATATATATTTCTATTACCACAAATAATTTATACAAAGCAAGCAATCGAGTTTTCTACTTTTCCATCGTCAAAATGCAAACATGAATTAATTACAAACATTATTATTATTATTTGAGAAATGTGCCATCGAGAGTCCCATAAATAATTTGAATGCAATATTTATATGCAGATATTTGCTCATAATCTCTGAAATATGCAGATCTTATACGAGTGATATGCTGCCATGCACACACAAACGCATACCCTTGTGCATAAAATACTGTAACTGATGTACATAAATATATATATATATGCACAATAGCTTTAGGATGATAATATATGTACATATGTAAGTGTATTACGTAGCCACTACCAGAGTATTTGAAGTAAATCATAAAATTAATATATTCATGGTTGCAATATCTGATCGACTACTTGTATAATTAGAAAGCTTGCAATGGTTGTATTGTACATAGAACCATAACTACGCAACCACAACAACACGAAATTGACTTAGAGCATAACGTTGCTACTTGCCTATTGCTGTTTAATTTTGTTTTTTCTTTTTGTTGTGTTGCCTGCACGCGTAAATTAAACACGTGTGCACTCGTGTACCATATATGTATGTATATCAATTCATACATACGTGTATGTATACATTAAAGATTTGGTGACAATTGCGCTCTGATAAACATGTTGCCTCCGGCATTAACATCGATTCCACTTGTCGTGTGAGGTGTGAAGTGTTCGGCTCTACATATAGTATGAGTGTGTTTGTGTGCGCTTGGTTAGAATGGAACACATATATATATATTTGCCACTTAAGTGCAAAATAATTATGCCCATTTATGAACACGGCTATACGATTGTTTCCACATACATATATATGTACATATTAATACATAACTTGGTATTGAATATTTAGCTGTAATACATACGTATAGTTAGTTCTTAGGCACGTGTTGCTCTTGATTGAATTCGGCCACTCACATTTAGCTGTTCGACAGTTATTAATGAAACAGGTTGGCGAGAACACTAGTTTGCGACTAGAATTTATACAAAGTAAAATGTTTTAGCCCGGAAAATTATTAAGCATAAGCATTTTTTATAAAATCGGTACATCTTTGAGAAAGAGCTACTCGCTTAAAAAAATAAAAAAGTTGAAATGTAAAATTATTGCAATGTTTCGCTATATAGAATGTTTGGAGTTTTCCTATTGTCGAAGATGATTGCTTTCAATTTCGCTATAAACAAATTTAATTATTCCATAGTTGTTTTTTATAGTAATTTTTTAATTTCAAGAAAGAAAATGGTTCTTTAGTATCGAAACATACTGCAAGTTTTTGTCAGTTTTGAACATGAATGAGAGTAGTACAAGAAGCTTACGCGTAAGCGCTAGTCGGGTTCATTAAAAAGGGTCTTGAGTTAAAAGAGTATATACTATGTATCTAACTCGACCACATTGCCCTAAAGGTGAAAGGAAAAAGCAAACAAACTTTAAGCATTCTGGTATAAGGATGGCTGGCTGGATGTTAACCCAGAAAAGATCGCAATAATCTTACTAGAAAACTGAACTAGAGCCGGAATATAAAATACAGGTTGCAAAACGGCGATAGAAAAAAATTCAGCCTAGTCCATTCGTATTGGATTTATGCAGTGGTAATTAGACCAATCATACTCTATGGCGTTCACGTATGATGTTCGGCTCTTGAAAAACTCACTCTTAGTAGCAAATGAGTTAGAGTTCCACGGTCGATTGCTATCTTCACAACAGGAGCACAGCCATCAACTACCTTAAATGGTCTGCTAATTCTATTCAACTTTTCCTGTCTCTGGAACTTTACGACAAATTGAAAGTGAGCTGAAACGAAACTAAATTGAGTGCAACTCTACTTTGCAATATAGGACACACTTAAATATTATATCGTGCAGAGGTGCCGAAGGAGTTGAATTACACCAGAATACCAAACAGAAATGAATGGGAGAACAAACGCCCACAATCAGGGAGCCATTACAAACTTTACACGTTCTAAGTTCGATGTAAAAGTGGGCTGTGGAGTTCGTTTTCCGATTCTATGAATAAATATGAGCATGAGATTACGCGACCACTGTAACTTCCTCCAAACAGAACGCTTAGCAATCCGCCGCCGATTGACTGCTCATATCTATGATAGTAGATCAGAGCTACAATTATACCAGCGAAAGTACAAGTGATCGGAGTAGTTGCAACCCCACAGTGGTCTGGGTATCCGGGCACAGTGATATACCAGACAATTTCATGGCAGACCAACTAGCAAGGAAGGAACCTTTTGTTCATAACAAACCGTAAATACGATGTAGGAATACCATTTTCCTCGTCAAAGAGAGTGGTAAATTTAACATTTGACAAAAAAAAAACTCTCGATGACCAAAATGGGACACAAAGAACTAAAACAATTTTTTCCTATAGACTGGTTCTCCATTAGCATAATGACAGACATAATTATAAGTCACATATTAATGCGGCATCATGGGAAAAGAATACGCTGTAACTCCAATGATTTCTACCGCAGCTGCAGGGACGAAAAATGAGGAAGAGTCAATTGAGCCCTACTTCTGTTACTTTCCAGCCTGAAAATGTGAAGGACACAAGTTTCTCGAGAAACACTTTTTCAACTGCCCTTCTGAGCTAGCTTTAGCAAAAACTGGTAATCTTTGTTGCCTTTATAAAGACATACAAATATTTAAGAAGGAAAGGGGCCTCATAGCAGTATCACAATGGGTTCACTGGCATAAGTGCATTAATCAATTGCCAACAGTCACATCAACTCAACTCAGTATGGCTTACGGACACTTAACAAATAAAACCTGTACTTTAGGTTTTCGAAATATCAACCTATTACTTGACCTAAACTTTTTATTAATTATCTTTTTTTGTATACAGAAATTTTTTTTATCCAAAATAAGATTGAAAAAATTACAGTGCTATTAAAAAATAATAAAATTGCAAGAAAGAGTAGATTTGTTTTTTTTTTTTTTGCGGAAATATTTTAAAAAAAATAATAATTTTTACAACATAAATTTTTTACTTATTAGTTTTACATAAAACCATAAATGAACACCAAAACTTGAAAATTTATTTACTTAAAACTTTTTACTATGAATATGTCTCTCTTTCCATTTCTAGTGTCGGCGTCAACTAGCTTGATGAACAAGCATGAACCTATGTTTATTTCACGTTCGGAGACATTCAAATTTGTCGCTGGCGATACAATAAGATTGCCATGTGAAGTTGCCAATACAGGTGAGCTAAAAATATTTATAATTACTTGGATAGAAACTGAAACTAAACTAAACTAAACTAACCGGTTAATTTTTTTTTATAACGGTTAATAGTGGAATAATAAATTTAACTTTTGTTCGGTTTTTATATTCAAGCCATACAAACATTTGTATCAGAGCTAATGAAAATTTCAAGCTCGCGCTAAAAAAAATAAAATTCCTTTGTACACTCGATACCTGCCTACGAACATCTTTTCGGCCAGAACTTCGATTAAAATTTTTTTTTGGTCTCTTTTACCCTTCACTTTTAGGTAAATTGCAAAAAATATTAATTTAAATGTTATTTTTACAAAAAAAAAAAATATTTGAATCTAAAGAAAGCATGATTTTCATTTATTTCACCATGGTGAATACTAATCGAAAGTTTATTTTGAAAAAAAAAACCGGTTTTCCTAGTTATAAATTTAATTTTCTTTTTTTCCTTTTTTCCCATTGACTAAATGTCGCTCATACGACGTGTTGGGTCGAAAACCATGTGCGTAAGGAGAAGGCGTCTCGTGTGTAAAAAGTTTTTTCTTACTGCGCTATGAATGTAGACTTAATTTTTTAATTACATTTTGGGTAAATGAAAGATTCTAAAACCGAAATTCTGTTGAAAGCATCTGTAATCTTAGTATTAAAAATACTATCAAGCGATAGCGCATAACTTGTATTGGAAAATAAAATTAATAAAGGTAATATCAAAACACACATTGGTGTCATAGATTTGCCAAGAGAAGTTTCGAAGTTCCGCAGTTTTGCTGTCGCTTTAATGTTGTAAATGCTGCGTAGAAACAAAGTCTTACCCAACTCGGCTTCTACTTCGTTGGTAATTTTGGATTCTCCGGATTATTGCGGAGTGCATAGCGCTCATCTGTGGGACTGAAATTTTTAGTACGACCATTGCTTCCCTTATTATTCGTTGTCTTCTCCCGAACAAAACATTAAAGAGTGTAATATACTGTAGTATCAATCAGGACATTTCAGTAATTTTCCGGTGCAAATATCTGCTCTTAAAATGCTCTAAAACAAGTTCTCGCTTTTCTGCTGTCAAGCGTCATCCCATTTTGCTGAATTATTTTTTTTGCTAACCTGTCAGTTTGTTGACGGTGTGTCCATCCAGCAAGCTTGTGAAGTGTTCCCTACATAGTGCTCCCGCAAGTGTTTGGTCGGTTTTTTTCTCTATTACGACATGGCAGTCTTCATCGTACCAGCTGTTTTGCAACGTTTACGAAATCCAATAGATTCATTTGCAGCTGTATGTGTCCTTGTCTTTTCTGCCACAAGATAGTGATCCGCATCGATGTTAGGGCCTGGGAACATGCGTACATCTAAAACACCAGTTACATGTCTTCCGTCTATCACAACATGATCGATCTGGTTGAAAGTTTATCGATCTGGAGACAGTCAAGTAGAATTTTTTCGGTCCCCGGTGAAGTCAATCAGCCTTAGCCCATTAAGGAATGTTTCATCGTGAAGGCTAAATTTTCCAATTTTGTTCCAAAAATACCTTCTTTGCCCACCCTAGCGTTGAAATCGTCAAGCACAATCTTGACATTGCGGTGGGGGCAGCGCTCATAAGTGTACTCGAGGCGCTCATAAAATTATCTGTCAGAGCGTGGGCGAAAATTATGGTATTAAAGGACTTCGTTTTGGTGCGTATTGTGGCGAGCCGCTGTAATAGATATCACAAGAACCGATTCGATTTCGTACTTTTCCTGTACTTCGCACTTCTTGGACGGCCTTTAATTTTATGAGGACATCAATCAGTTGGGCAGCAGCAAGCTCTCAATTATGGGACTGCGAATTCCCGCTGCATGTCCTAAAATCGTAATCCTTAAATCATTTGTGGAGGTCTCTCATGATTTTGTTTTTCACGTGGTGGGTCCTAAAGCCTACGCATAACCAGTTGGTATTCGTCTTTTCACTATAGCTCGCCTCAAAATTGAGGTTTCTTGGATACTTGTTCTTAGGCCGAATGTCGTGATCTGCTTGAACCATCTACAAGAGAATTGTTTCTGGCCACTCCCAGGTGAATGTCAGTCAAAAATTTTCCTCGGTTGCCTGAACTTCTATACACGGCCAGGACAAGTATCTGTATCAGCGGAAAAAATGCCTTGATCTAATGTACACAGCCCGCGAAATTTCAAAATTTACCATTTATATTAAGAAGACCTCGTACATATGTACATACGTGTACATGGTCATATATCCAAGCTTCAGCAAATTACAAGCAATATAATTTCACACCCATAATCTCTCGAATAGTCTGCTTCACACAATGCCAGTCTCACTGCAATTTGTACTTCAAAATCACTGCCTACGGCTCGAGAGTAAATAAAAGGCATAACGTAAATGAGATAACGACAGAGTGAGAGTAAATATGAGCAGACACTTACTTGTAGGTTTCGGTCAGGCGGTGATTTACTCGTTTGTACTTGCACACGAAATTCCTCCTGTTGTTAGCTATGAATATGAGCATCATTAGCATATGCTTCAAGCTGGCAACACATGTATTTACACTGAAGATATTTATATGTGTAAAAAGTACTCGTAGAATAGATTATAAGGTCTTCTTCTGAGTGAGCAGCCGTATGAAGGACAACATGATTGAAGTGCGCTGCGAAGTAAAAGGAAAGTGCATCAAGAGCCTTACAGTATGTTCTTATTGGTTTTTGCATATTCCCGTTAAACAAAACGTGTTGGATGTGTTCCTGCGAGTGTGTAAAAAAACATTAAAATTGCTTGTTAAAAGATAATATTCATTTCCGCATGTTTATGATCTTCACTTGTGGTGGTGGTAAGCATAATTTTCATTCTATTTTGGTGGAAGTCGATTTTGCAAAGTGAACCAAAAAAGGTACTTTTGCATATTTAACGCCTTTTTATATGAAAGTAAAACACATTTTGGCTCACTGCAGCATAAAACAGTTAAAAAAGGTAAAATTTATTTCACTACCCTCCTTTTTATGATGGAAACATGCTCTACTTTTTTTCATTCAACTTGATTATTCATCATTACACATACAAACAAACATATTTACAAGCAAATTTAGGTTATCAACGTGCCACAGGTAAATTATAAGACACTTTCGTCTCTCCTTAATAAAAGCCTAAACAATGACTCCTCAGTTCCCCTCTTTCGCTCAAATTCGAAGCTTCAAGCACAAAAGCGTTATTACAATTTTGTTACTGTTTATGAGTGTAATAAAACGTAAAAAAATAATTGATAGAATTTTTTTCTTCAACTCAACGTGAAGCGAGGCATTGAGACAGAGAGAGAGAGAGAGAGCGAGAGAGAGAGAGAGTGTGTGTGTGTGTGTGTGTTTTGTCTACACATCGTACTTTGCAGACTTATCGTTTTTACCGCTCATACGCACAACACAAAACTGAGTTATCAACATTGCCAAGAAGAATAACGCATAAAAGCAAAAAAAAAAAAAGAGGAAAAAACCAATAACAAAAAGTTGATGACGCAAATGCGTTATTGAAGCATTAAATTGAGGGCATAGTAAAAATTTCAATAGCAAATATAAATGCATAACTGTGTGTTGGTGTTAGTGATTGACATTTGGCGGTCTGGTATGATCGTATAATGAATGATGGATTGGCGGAAATGTCCTCTTTAAATTTATAGGCAATTCTATTTTATAGCATTTGTCTATAAAATGCTGACGAAATCAGTGCAAGATGTGCTTTAAAATTAATATACGTATATAAATAAGAAAAAGTTGATTTGTATATTATATATCATACGCAAGTGCGTCTGTCTTACTGTATTATTTAATATGCTAAATATCTCGAAAACATTTTCATCCATAAGTTTAATTCAATCCATCGATCATCCGACTATTTGTTGCTACCAACATGATTATGACCCAGACCTGAAATCGGCTATAGAATACCGCAATTTTTCAGAGAGGTTTCAAATATTACTTTTCTCAGGCAGCTACTTAAGCTCTTCATACTCTTTTTTCTCTCTGCAAATACCTCTAGCTTCGCTCTTCGACTCTCAGTATCCCACGTAGCACGCGCAAACCCATAGTAACAGCTAAAGGCAGATAGCTTGAAATGCTGTCCAACAGATCCTTCATATTGAATTGGCTTACCTTGGCGTTACAATGATCACACAAAATTTAAGATCGTGGCAAGCGCAGTGCAGAGTGAATGACAGCACTCGTGGATAGGCCTTTCTTTAGGACTCTGAGATCTTTTAAAATTTTGTAATAATCTGGCAAAAAAAAATTGAATCGATGTAACAAAAAATATCATGAAACACATTTAATTATACAATATTAAAATCTACAGCTGTGATAAATCTTACAAAGCGGAAAAAAAAAATTTATTTGCATATAATAAATATGAATAAATTTCGTTAGCTTATATTTACTTGTATATTGTTTCGTAAGAAATTTTAAAATGTACTTCAGAGTATATAAAACATATATACATATACATATGTATGTTGCGCTATATAGAAGCACATACTCGGGCAATTCTTGAAAGTTTATAAGTTAACCACATACACGCAGTCCAAATCCATTAGGGACAATGTCCGCCCATCACTTCCCACTGCACATGCCCACTAGAATTTTGTTAAATCATTTAGCCACAAGACATATATCTTTCTTTTAGAGAGTTGGCAGCAATATTGGCCTTCTCAAAAAGTAATAAATTCTCGCACTCCGACAAATAGCATATCCTTGCGCACACATACGCATAACAAGCAAACAAACAAACATGCAAATAAACTTATATAACTAAACATACTACTATACATATTAAATATACGTATACGAGGGGATAAACACAAGTTCGTTAAGTTGAACATATTCTTTTTGTTCTTCTTTATCTTCTCTACACAATCCCCCTTGATTACAATGCATTTCTTAAGCTTATAGAGTCTTCAAACTCTTGCTTTTAGGTGGTGTGAAGTAAACTGAAATCATTACTTTTGCTGCTGATTTTGGTTGCTTAGATTTT